GTTTAATGCCTAAGCTAGAGATGCATTATCCGGTAATCGCCAGTTTAACATTATACACCTGAACACTTGAGATGTGATATTGGAATAATATAAACAGCGTTTCAACTACCATTACACGTTGTAAATCGTGAAGCCTGATGGGCTCAGGTTTACGGAATGAAGGGTATCGTTGGCGGCATACAAGACGCAAATTGTGCGGTGGGAATGATATATTGTACACTTTTCTTGATGTAAACTGGTATCGGAACAGTAAAGAAGAAACTTGATTACAGCCATTCACTCATTTTCCAGACTTCTTGTGATGTGATGTCGTATCATCTATCAATCAACATTTTAACTTTTTCTTGAATGTGAAATTTTTTATTAAACCGACAATAGAGTCCATTGTTACACCGAAGTGAGTTTTGACACTGTGTTTCATTTTCAGCCAATTAAGGTATTGTTAAAGCAACTTTAAAATCAGTTGCTTGGATAAATTATATATTTAGTTGTGTAATCATAATTGTTGTTTGTTAATGGCGGTACTGAACAACATTCTGAAATCACCGTAATATATTCTTAGTGACGAAGCGATTCTTCAATACTTCAAAACAAATAAGTGTTAACATGAAACAGTATTATGGAAAGACACACTGATAAATACTAGGAGAATGAGGGCGAAAACCGCAAATTATGTATTTATAAATCATTCCAACCTTGGCTGCCACAGGAAGTTGTTGTTTCCTGACGTGTTAACCAACTCCTGCAAAAACTGTATATGATTTTTTAAAAACCCATTACTAAAATTGTAAATTACAAGTCAAAGTAACGCGCTTTTCCTTAATTAATATGTCTATTTCTTCGAGAATACGTTTCTGTTAAGATTTTGGGTGAAAGTGTGATTTTTGTCTGTAATGAACCTTTTCACTAATCAACAATCGCGACACATTTTTAAGAAAAACAAGAATATTTTCCTTTGAGTTAGACATTCATGAATATGCAATAGTCTACTTCGATTTTCAGGTTGAGTTTTAATAAATACAATAAGTAGCAAAGAACATTTTAGCAGTCCAAGAACTAGCGCCCTCTGTTATTGCAAATAAAACAAGATTTGTTTGATAATTTTTAAAATCATATTCTTCTAAAGCAATATCAGGGAACACTAAGTGGAAAATTGAAAAGTACATTTGAATTAAATCATTTGGAAAAAAAAGGGTGGGAGGGTATAAGCTCATAAGATATTGTTTTTAAATCCAATACAATCCAAATCCGTGACAGTAATTTTGGTTTAAAAGTTATTAAAGCCACACAAAAAAGGCATGTTAGAGCTTAAACAACATTTTGGTTCTAAATCGACACGGTATGGCTAATATCAATTGCATGGCTGAAAAATTACTGGCAGTTACGTGCTCACGAAGATACAAGTAATTTAGCCTTAGTGCTATTGGCAAAATTCAGTGACATGTTAATCCTTTGTTAAGTTACTAATAACTAGTTGTAATGTTAATACAAACATCAACAGGTACATTTGATGACGACGAACCCAGAACCCAGATTTATTACAGTTCACTAAACACTAATGTTAACAATACGACTTTGTGTGAGTCGAGTATGGCTTAGTGTTCATAACGACCGCACTGTGAATTCGAGGGTTTATGACTGTAGCAAAAACGGGCTTCACACTTTATAACCATAGGTGTGCTATAACAGTGAAGACTAAATTTTATTCTTCGTTCAGACAAGAGTAGCCCAAAAGTTAGGCAGTTGGTCCTTTAACTAGCTACTTTTCCTTTTGTTTATAATTAAAAAATTAGGTACATATCTGTGCAGATAGCTCCTATGTAGCTTTGCGTGACAATTCTGAACAAACAGCTTTATACATCTGATGCAGTTCAACTGGCTCATAAAGCAGAGAATATTTCTAATTCATAGTTAATTGAAAGCTGCCATTCCTTATACTGCTAATTAGTAAATAGAATATATGTGGAAGATAGAGACGTCTCTTACACGAACATATTTTCTGTGAACATCCACTTTATAAAGAAAATGTATAAAATAACATGAAATGATAACCATAGACACTTGAAATTGTGTTTCACTTACACATCACATAATGATGTGAGCTTAAGGATTATTTCATTTACATTCTTAACAAATGGTTGTGATTCGCTAATCTCGTAAATAAGCATTCTTTTTTATTTCATTCTTTTTAATAACATAGATATTTTTCTTTAATTTGGACATCTCTTTATAAAAATAATTGGTGTGAGAATGCCAGGATATTTTTTACAAAATAACGTTCATTCCTTGCAATATATGAGTCATTTGTTGATTGGTTGCCCTTCCATCGGTCAGTACTTCTATAATATTGGTGACTACGCCTGAACTTTAGGTATCTCTGACCTGGCCGTTTAGCTTATGAATCATCGGTAGGTTTTCGGATTTACAATGCTAAAATCTGGGATTCGATTCCACACGGTGTACAGAGCGCAGATAGCCCGTCGTGTAGCTTTGCGTTAAGCAACAAGTAACTCCTGTGTCGCTTAACGGGCCGTTCATGTTGAAACTACCAAACAACACATGAGTAATGTAAGAAACTTCACGACGTGATGTCAAGTAATTATTAGCTTTCTATATATATCTTCATGCCTTTTTAACAGTATATCTCAATCCTTTTCATTCCAGTTAATCTAATAATAACTCTGTTAATATTTGCACAGGTGCATCTTTTAGACATAACAACCGTTTGAACAATATTTTTCCTGCTTGGGTAATGATACATATTAAATCAAAAACTACAACTAAGAAATATAAAAAAAAACATGAATAAGAATGAGAGCACAAACCAATCCAGGCGGAACACATGTCTTTCTTCTCAACCTGCTGATCTAGAGAAGTCGAAGTGTGGTTGGCAGTTACACAATATTGTCAATTGCAGTAAGTGGCTGCTAACTATTAAGTGCATTAAGTAAGGAAATATCATGTTTTTCAATCTTGATAATTTCTTAGTAGAATGATAAGGTCAAGGTTATTATCTATATGAAACCTTTTCAAGTAGAGCTCACCTTCTCTTGTATATATATATATATATATATAACACCATATATGATGCTTTGTTTTTTACACATACTATTTTAAATTCCTTTAAAGACTAGAAACAGAACACGTGAAAATTAGATTCTTAGACTTGGCAGGAGGAATAACTGATACCTATTGAATTATCAGTGGTATTGTAATTAAAACTAATTATTTAAATGAGTTACGTTTTTGGCTACGTGAAAATAAGTTGGCAACAAGTCATCGATTAAAGTTGATTTTCTCTGTGACAATGGTTTAGACTATCAAGAGAAATCTATATTTGGTGAACAATGAAGTTTGGAAAAACGTGGACCACATTTGAATAGTCTTCGACAATTATAACTTAAACAATTCGGGAAATTTCTCGATTTGCTGTCTAAAAAAATTAGTTCCAGTAAAAAACTTTAAGTACTACTAACACGGATTTACCTTCCAAAAATCTCGAACTTTAATGTAGTTTTTAAGAGAAATTTTTCTTTGTCTTGCTACAGTTGAAAAACGTTGTTCCTCTATGTGTAGAAATTGTCAGAATTGAAATATCAGTTCAAGTTTCAGTGACTTTAAGTACACAGATAACATAATAAGATGTTTTAATAACTCGTGTGTCATGATTGCCATGTACGAGCTTGAAGTATTAGATTAATTTATCTATTTTTTTATTGGGGTATTAGTTTGATTTACTTTTTTGTACTTTGTTTTTAGCTTGAATTTTCCTATCCTTGTGCTTGGAGTATTAGCTTGGTCTTCTGTTTATCATAATTTAAAATGTTGCATTACCATTGAGCTTGATTTAGCTGGTTTTTTTATCACATCATTTACTCAGCTTGATATAATAAAAGGGTTTACTAAATGTGTGTTTTAAACTGTTAATAAATACGACTAATCATAGTCTTCACTTTACATAACAATCTTTGTAAAATAAAGAAGCTTCATATAGCTGAAGTTTCTAACAGGCTGTTTATGAAATCTTATTTAAATGGTGATTTAGAAGTCTCATTTCTGAGTTTGGTGTAGTTTGAGGTTGTACTGAATATTTTACGTAACTTAATGTGAGTTTGATGTAGTTAGAGGTTGTATTGAATGATTTATGCAACTTAACTATTTATATAATTTAATCGAGTTAACGGCCTTGGTGGTTGTTGTAATTAACAAAACAAATGACAATCACGCTTCCTGTTCTCCAATCACTGATTGATAACAAAGCTTACCGTGGTAAGAATGGCGGTTAGAAACAGTATCTAGTTTGATTAATGTCACCACTTCATATATATAAAAAAAAAAAACTTGTCTCATATTTCGTTATTTCTTGTCTAGGCGTTTTACTGAGGTCTTGTAATCACTGAAACCGATCTTGAAGCGTATCGTACAACAGCTATTAAATCCGAACCTACGCTGCTTTCGCGAGACGCCAAATAAAGTACTTTAATTTTTATAAAGGAAGAAAGAAAAGAGATAATAAAAAACGTTTTAGTACTTACATATGTTTTTAGTAAAACTCTTGAAATGTCGTAGTAGAAGTAGTTCAAGTGTCATTATTTTAGCTATTGATTCAGATTAAGCCGATAGTTTGTTGGATTGTAACCAGTTTAAAAAGTGGTTTTTCAGGTGTGGTGGATGTAAAGGCGAAAGAGTATATTTATCTTCAAATACTTCGGGAAATCACCTGCAGAAGGAAAGGATATTATTTCCATATAATCTTTCTTAAAACCCCCCAAACACGAAATTCCAATAATTTAAACGCACAGCATAAAACTTATTATTATTTTTCTATAGGGAAACCTCGCAAGACGTAATTTCTTTGCTGTGTTTTTATTAAAGTTGTTTTTATTATAATCACTCATTTCAAACGAAAAATTAACATGGTATTAAGATGAGTCAGGCTACATATTTCTTTTTTTTTGTGACAGACAGAAATGTATCCTGTGATTGAAGAATGCTGGCAAGATATGTCTGGCCCGTTTAGCTTTTCTCTAGCTACTAACTGCGAGAATCAGGGAACGGGCGTTTCCAATCCAACGCTTTCTACCATCGGTCAGCGAAACTATTACTCCATGGGCGCTACCTCTCCATCCTCTTTGCAATCATCCCACACTGGCATCAACGACGTTTTCTCCTCCAGCTCTGTTTTGCCAAATGGATCAATTCCTCATCCAAATGCGGGCGGTCTCCCCAACGGGTTTCCTTATTCTGTTTCATGTGTTGGTAAGTTTTCTATTACTTTTTGATGTATTGTTTAGGCAAGATTATTACATCAACAATGAGTTATTCTTGTAATGCATTGTTTAGACAACAGTATTACCAAAACATTGATACTGTCATGTTCTTCGGGTTTTAACTGTTTAAAGTTTAGAGTCTTCAGACGATCTTCATATACAATACACGTGTAAACAAGCAAAACTACTAAATATTTTAGAAGTGTATAAAAACAGCTTGTAGTGTTTGTAACATACTATATTGTGAAAATATCTCATAAATTTAAATTTGTTTGACACTATGTTATTTATAATTAAGATTCCTTTTAAAAGTAATTACAATGAAGTTTGATTATACAGATTATATGGAAAAATTATTGGTTTACTCATATACCTTATGGCATTTAATTAATGAAAGTAAAACGCCATTCAAATCACATTTATTTACTATTGCAAGAACAAAGATATTTTGCTACATGTTCGGGTCATCATCATGTTTAAACGGTGTATTACTTTCATTAATTTTATAAAAATATTAAATTTTTGTTTGAAGTTAAGCACAAAGCTACACAATGGGTTATCTGTGCTCTGTCCACCAC